AGGACTCAGAAGTAATCCTGGAGAGCTAAGAAAGGGAAGATCACATCTGTGTGTTAAGGGGAACTAAGTAACATTGATGAAGACTTTGAGCATTAAAACTTGAATAAAGACAGGTGGTGGGTTAGCTCAGTTAGTTGGATGGCTAGTCTGCAATGCAGAGTGATGCTAACATGGGTTCAATTCCTGCACTGGCTGAGAGTATCATGAAAGACTCTCCTCAACTTCTCCCTTTCCTCTGAGACATGGTGACTGTCAGGTTAAACCACCACCAGTTGTTTCTGTGATAGCCCTCTGGAACAATGTCAGCTTTGACAGTGGGGTTAGGGGTGAAAAGCTCACAGCAATATTTGATGCAACTGCGTAAGACTGGAGCTTGGGGACAAACCCAGGTATAGAATTGACTTGATGAAGCTTGCTGCCAGTGAAGACTTGGATGTATGTTTGTGACTGTGTACAAGAATGCAAATTTGGAATCCAGGCAAGTTTAACCTCAGGAAAGAAAGGGAGATTGATTATAAATGGAAGTCATCATTGAGGCAATTCAGAAGAGGACCAAGACTAAACTGACAAAAATGAAGAACTTTGATCCATTGTGAGATTTGGTGATCCACTGTGTCATTAACATTTATGAGGAGTTGCTGAGAAATCTAAGAATCCACCTTCAGCATATTTGCAATTTGATGCGCATTTTGGCTTTTTAATTAGTTTATTACCATATTTACCACTTGTTAATTCTGAGAGCTACACATATGCTGTATATATAGTGTAGATTGTATTACTGTTCACGTCACTTTCCTCTCTTAGTAGGTCCCCTGAATCTCATACTTTGTCTACTTTAAAACATGTTATTGATCCCTATCCAGATTGCCAAATTTATGTTACAATCTGGTCTGAGATTGTAACATAATTTGGATACTTTTCCAGGAGTTTGCTGAGGTTGAGATGGGTTAAAATTTTCATGGTGAATTTTACAATACATATTGGAAATGGAAATAGCTTTGTTAGTTCCTATGACTTTTCTGGAAAAGGATGATTTATCCTGACTGATTTGCAAGAATCAATCAAGGTTACGTTAACTGTATTAGCAGAAAAGATGGAATTGGAATTAAAAACAAGGGTTAAGAGAGGAGAGTTAGTTCAGACAAGAAGAGTCTAACCCAAACAGGGCATAAATCAAATCGGCTAGAATGCATTCGTTAATGAAGCAGCTTGAAATAGAAAGGAAAAAAAAAAGTTGACATTGGAGGAAAGAGATAAGGAAAGAGAAAAAAGAACACCAAAGAAAAATCAGAAAACATGAACTGGATAAGATGTAGGTTAAATGTTTTAAAAGATATTGTCCAGTCAATGGAAGTGATAGTATAAAGAATAAAAATGATGTTAGAAAACCAGTATGTTTTGACTGTACAAAGCAAATTGTTGGAATAATAAAGGTAAAACAGTGGGAGTAATACAAACACTCAAGCAGTCTTCAGAAACAATAGTACTGGTGAAAGAAATGGGTGTTAGTACAGCACATGAAACATGTTTCTTCAGAACCTACTGAAATGAGTTCAGTATAGCCAAAAGAATTCTTCTTTGAATACTGTCACAGTGAGTCAGATAATTGGAGATTTTTGAGATTTTGACTCCAAGGGAGTAATGTTTACTTACTCTTCCAACATCACAAGTAAACAAATTAATATTTAGAGCGCCACAGGATCAGTTTGGTTATGTTTGGTGGCTGATGGTACAATTTATGTTCTGGACGGTTTGATGTAAGAGGTATTAATCACAGCTCTCTATGAGACTTATGGACTTGTTGCCTTCTACAAAGTTAATTTACAAAGTGATTAGTAAATAGAAATGTTACTGTGGGAATTGTTCCTGGTTTAACTATTGAAGGGGTACATTTTATACTAGGTGATGATTCAGCAGGTATGAAATTCTTGCCATTTTCAAGAGTTTCAAGTGAACAGCTGAGGTAAGAGAAACAGATTTTGTAAAAGGAATATCCTGGACTGTTCCCTGCTTGTGTAGTAACCCAAGCTCTTAAAGCTAGACTTGATAAAGTTGAAAATGTTTAACCCAAGAGAAATTCGTACCGGAAACAGAAGGTGAAAGACACCATTAAGGAACTAGGCACCACTAAAGAAAAATCTGTTAAGTGTAGAGAAACTGCTTTCATGAATAAAAGATGACTACTTGAACATTGGTCACCGGAAGTTATGAAGGTTCATATTTTATTATTTGAAAATTTCGGTCCCCAAGTGGAAGGAAACTGGCTTTAGTTTTCAGTTCTGCGAGAATCTTTTTTTAAACTGTCAGAAAGCTACCCGAATAATGAATTCAAAACAACATTTACAGTAAGTCATGTGATTGCAGTCGAGCAACCAGTAAGAAAACTGTTCAGGTGTTTACCAAATTGAGATTATGTCACCTAGAGAGCAAGCTGGAACCAGGCTCAAGCAAGGGGAAGCAGGCCCATAACAGCAATCATGTGCTGTTCTTAGTAGTCAGGGAAATGGAGAAGTCCTGAGGTGCTTAGCAGTCAGTGGGACAAAACCTCCAAAAATAGAAGGCTCTGGGATGCCAGAGAATAAGGCACCCTACAAGATTGAAGGTATTAGTTTACAGAACCTATGCTAAGTAGTAAAAACAGAAAGCTCTGGAGAATGCAACAGCTCTGGCAGAATCTGTGGACAGAGAAACAGACTTAACGATTTGAGTCCAATACGATTCTTCTTCGGAACTGAAGGAGACTGTGAAGTGCTGGGTTTTATGCTGTAGAAAAAGAGGGGAGAAGTGGAACAGATGATGACAATGCCCCAAAGTAAAAGACAGAATATTAATGGTAGTGAAAAGATACAGATTGGTTGTTCATAGCCAATAATGTGGATTTCCTGAGAGCAATTCCATGGAAACAGGACATTGCGGCATCGTGGATGCATGACTAAACTAGGTTAGGAAGTATGATAACTATGTTAAGTAGTGAGCTGAGACAGAAATATGACTTGAGGATTTCAGGGAGAAACTGAAGAAAATAGCATCTAGTCAATGTGCTGAAAGGAAACTACATTTGCAGCAGCTGAGTAAAAAAACCTTCATGTAAAAATAGGTGTGTCCCTTCACTGAGGTTTGAATGTAAGCACATTGCTGAAAGAAAAGGATTAAATCTTTCTTTCTCACATTTGTAATGAGATCTTTCCATTCTTTACTTGTCTAGTATATTATGGCTTAATATTTTTCTTTTGTTAAAAGTACATCAGCAGCCTTGAGACAGTCTTCTGTGTAAGAAACAATTTTGTTTTGCCTTGCATGATTCTTTTGTAATTTACTCACTCCTATCTTCCATTCAGTCAGACCTCCCTTTTGTTCTTTTCCTCTTCTCCTACCTTTCCCTCTGTTTGTACTTGCCTGAAACTGGTGACATCCTCAACTTTTTATACTTCTATTGAATGCAACTGACCAGAGATGTAATCCTATTTCTCTCCCTACAGATGTTGCCTGAGCGTTTTGTGCACATTCTGTACAAAATAATGGGCTGAATCTTCTGAGAAATGGTAATCAGTTTGCTAACACACTCCCTTTTTCTAACCTTGCCCAGGAGCTCTGTATTTCTGATCTGGGCCTCTTGAAAAATGTGGGTTGTATCTGTTTTGGGACTCATCCATTAAAGTGCAAGATCTGTGATGAAGACCAAGCCATGCCCCATTTTTCAATACTAACCGAGAAAATCTAGGGTTTAAAGTTTCCAAAGGCAGTTTCACAAGCTATGGAAGGAAGATAAGTGGGCAAGGGAGTAGGGCAGCAAGTAAGAGGGTTAGAGAGGCAGTGTCAGTTTTATTGTAATCTGGAGTTAGATCAGGTGTTAATTCCTCTAAACTTTGCTGAGAAGTACATAGGTATGAGAGTCAGACACCTCCAAACTGGACTTGGAGATTTTTTTGGACAGTTATGGATACTGGTGATTGCCCATCAGAAAGTCCAATTGTTCATCCTTTATGATACATTGTTATGATCATTATTTTCCAATAACAAGAGTGAATCATTATTGTAGATGGGGTTCACGAGAGTCACTGGCATGGTTATTAAGCGAGAAAAGGTTAATTTCAGCAGACAGGCTGAATAAGGCCATTCTAAGGTCCAGTGCTGAAGACAGATGAGTGGACAGAAGATTGCAAAACTACCTACTGTATCAGGATCTCTGTAAGATTCATCTTGCCACTGGATCAAGACAAGTCAGGATGACAGAGCAAGACTGACGATGGGCAATCCTCCTGCACTATAATCCAATTCATGTGCAAGTAATGTTTAACACCTTTCTAACATTTGCCAATCTGTTACGAGCCCTGTGGCAACAGCTAAGTGATGTAACAGCAAGTATGGATTCACTGGGAACTGTAGCTGACAAACTGCAGCACTCTAAATGACTGATCTGCCCTTTTCTGATTACACCACACAACTTGCAGTTTGTAAATGAGATCTAAATATTATTTGCTTCAGCTCTTTGACCAGCTCACTCAATTAACTGGTCTGTATTTCTTTGCAGCCTCTTGCGTTTCCTCACAATCTACATTTCCATCTAGGTTTGTAATGTTAGCAAAGTGGGAGATATTACACTGGTATTTTACCCCAACTTAATTATAGAGTGTAAGGTGGTAAGGCTAAACATTGCTTCTTGCGCCATTTCGCTAGTTAACAAGCTGCCAACTTGAAAATGCCCCATTTATACCTACTCTCTGTTCCTGTCAGTTAGCCAAACCTTCATCAACGCTAACATAGCTACCCTGAAGTTTATGAACCCTTAGCCTGTGGCGTACTTTACTGAATGCCTTTTGGAAATCTATCTACTGGTGCCCTTTTCTGGCTCCATCTTTAAAACTCTCCAATAAATTTGTCAAAAAAGATTTCCCCTTTCCCAAGGAAAGCAACATGCACAACAGCAAAGCTGCAGCACATAGCTGTTCTTAAATACTGTTAGCGGTGCATCAGTTAAAACAGTTTCTTTAAACATTTACTTGGAACATCCTTTTAAAATTTTATTTCATAAAAGAGCCATATTCTCAAACATATGCGCAACTTAGTGATCAGGTTTCGACCAGAGTCTGCTGGCCCTAACCTGGGGAAAAGAAAATAAGAAAGTTCTCTCTTTTATAGCTTTCTCCTGTCAGAATAGCAATGTCAACTCAAACAAAGTTGCATTTCACAACGCAAATCAGTGGAAACCAAAAGTAGACAGGATTCAGGACAATTCCATAAACATTTGAGATGACTTTACTGTTTCACAAAAAGAACAGAGCAAAGGCAAAACAAGTGAAACAGAATATAGTCAAAGTACCTGACAATATGAAAAAGTTCTTTCCGTTTCAAAGACCAACACTAACATACAAGATACATAGTTTACTACTCTAAGTAAAAATCCATCCTGTAGTGTCCCCTTTTTGTATTGATGGTTAAGCGGATGAAACTATGCACTGAAGTTTCTAACAGAGATTCAAAATGTAAGCCTGCAAGAGAACGTGTGATACACAAATGTTGGGATTTAATTGTCCCATCTGCTCTTTTTCTTTCTGGGAGGTGGTTCTGGCACAGCAAAGCCATCATTCTCAGCAGAACTGATTCTATTGCCACTTCTGCTGTCTCCATTCCTGCTTTCATTGCTGCTCCTGTTCTCGCCGCTGTTCCCGGTCTCATTCATGCTCCCACTCTCCCCACCACTCCGGTTTTGGCTGGAACTCCTAGAATCGCTATGCCGACTATCACTACTTCGACTCTCACCGTGCCTATCACTATGCCGACTGTCGCTACGCCGATCGCTGTGCCGACTGTCACTGCGGTCCACATGCCGTTCACTGTTTCGATCACCATGCCTCTCACTGCCCCGTTCGCTGTACCTGCTGTCACCTCCACGATCGTTGTATTTGCTGACAGAATGGCGGCTGCTGGAATCACTGTGACGACTGCTGCTATCACTGTGACGGCTGCCACTGTCGCTATGACGATTGAAGTTGTCGCTATGACGACTGCTGCTTTCAAAACGGCTAGAGCTGCCATCAACAAGACGATTGCTCTTGATCTCAGCAGAACGACTGTTGCTGTCTTTATTCCGAGCACCACTTCCACTGTTACTGCTGGGAACTGGCAGCTGGTTGGTGATTGGATTGCCCTGAGGACAAGTAGGGATAATACTGAGGCTCCCAGCACTTGTCCAGTTGCTAGTGCCAGCAGCAGAACCTGTGATCTTAGGAGCACTACCAGTGGCTGCAACAAAGTGTGATTTGTATTGTGACTGGTGGAATAAAATAAGTATATGTTAGTATGCAGTGGTTTACATTTGTAAACACCAGCTTTAGCATTGCAGACACTAAACGTGTATTCAAAACACTGGAACTATGGACTGAGCTAAGATGTGTTACTACTTCATGTTGCGTATGATATAATTAACATATATCAGAAAGGTCTGTTTGGGACTGAAAAAAAATGGAGACTTTTGAGTGATCCTCCTTTGCAGGATACTGAATGTGAAATGCAAATGATTCAGTCGGCCTGAGATACTTTCCATTATTGCAGAACACAATGGTTTACATTTTGTGGGACCACTCATCTCAAGAAACCTATCAATTTGACACATTCACCTAATGCTTGGTAGTATTCACAAAAAAAAAATTGATTGTGGTTTTGTTGTTGGTTTTGAGTTGAAACTAAATTGGTTGCACAGTGTAATGGAGCTACAGCACATTGCACTCACACAGTGGAATGATGTTAGTGTTAGGCCTCTGCTTGTCAAGTGTCCAGCTAGTGTTCGGCACCAAGCTTTAGAGATGAGGAGGACTCAGCTTACATCATTATTCAATGCTAAACTAGACATTGTCAGGAATAGATAACACAGTGTGGAGCTGGAGGAGCACAGCAGGCCAGGCAGCATCAGAGGAGCAGGAAAGTTGATGTTTCAGGTCAGGACGCTTCTTCAGACCCTTTTTCTGAAGAAGGGTCCCGAGCAGAAACGTCAACTTTCCTGCTCTTCTGATGCTGCCTGGCCTGCTGTGCTCCTCCAGCTCCACTCTGTGTTATCTCTGACTCCAGCATATGCAGTTTTTACTATCTCATTGTCAGTAATAGTACTGTCATGATTGAGCCTACTGATTACCAGCAATTTTGTGTCACATTGGAATGATTCAGATTTCTGCAGATGAGCCCAACAATACAATGTGAGAACAACGACCACAAGAGGATGTTCTCCTTATGATTTTGGTGAGTACTGGAAATCTGTATAAACTTTGATGAGGGGATTAGAACTCATTCCTGTCCTTAGCCAATATGTTGCAGTAGGAACCTAGAGAATCTACTCCTTCTACCAGCACATTGATACTAAAACCAGTGCTGAGAACAACTAATGCAGCAGGTACAGGAACTAAATCTGGGGCATAGTGTGTGCTGGAATGACATTTTTTTCTCTAATTGTAGTAAACCATGTTGGGAAAGAGAATTCAAACAGAACGAAAGACAGGGGAATGAGATTAAATTAATGACACATTAAATTTGATCTGCTGTGTAGAATTCTCTTCCAAATAACCTGCAATGCAGCTGCACTCTGAAAAAAATCAAAACATAGTTGCAAGAACCACAAAGGTCATGCACAATCCTGGTTAATGTAGCTATCATATGGAGGTGCAGGGGTTGGACTGGGGTGGACAGTCAGAAGTCAAATGACACCAGGTTATAGTCCAACAGATTTACTTGAAATCATTTGAGCTTTCGGAGCGCAGCCCCTTCATCAGATGCAATAAGAGAGGACAGCACACAGACACAAAGTTATAGGCAGAGAGATCAAAAGATCATACAAATGATGTGAGTGGAATGTCCAATAATAAATATTTGCAGGTGGCCAAGCGTGTTAGATGGCGAGTAAAGTGTTTACGAAGTCAATGTCAGTGCTGTGCAGTCATGACAATCAGGCAGAGTGGTAGGAATAAACAAGTGAAAAAGGCCTCACACCTACAATTCAGTGCCTGACCTGAGATGTCACTTTTGTATATTCCTAAGGCTCTGCCTGATTGTGATGACAGCACAGCACTGACATTGACTTTATAAACACTTCACTCGCCATCTAACACTCTTGGTCACCTGCAGAGACTTATTATCTGACACTCCATTCACACCGGAATTGTATGATCTTCTGATCTCTCTCCCTATCAACTCGCTGTCCATGTCCTCTCCTCTCTCACTGCACCTGATGAAAGGGCTGCACTCTGAAAGCTTGTGTGATTTCAAATAAACCTGTTGGGTTATAGCCTGGTGTTGTGACTTCTGACCTGCTTAATGTAAACATTTCTTTAAAAGAGATTTGCTTAGTGTAATGTTTAAAAGCAATCCCCCTAGAAACAATTATTTTGATTGGGTTGAACATTGTACAAAAGGGTATCTGTGTGGTCACCAAAGAGCCACCTGCATCTTCAGACATTTTTACTTGGTGCAATTCTGTTCAACTAATTGTTTGTAATGGCTAGTTACTGATTAGTGTGTACTTTTAAAAACCATAAATCATTTGATATTTTGCTCCTGCAGTTTAGTCCTGTCCATCTTGGTGGTAGTTCCCCAATTAATACTTCAGTCACATTCTCGAGGATTTTGTATTCAGATGGCTATTCATACCACAAGTAGGCCACTAGTCATCTTCAACTGATTAACTGTAAAAGGATTCCAACAATGTCTCATTGAATAGCTGTGCTCACTAATATTTAAATGCCTCCCGTCAGAAGGCCAGTTTTATGAATTCAATTTCAATTCAAAGGTGCCAACTTTTTGAACATTACATTGAAAAGTGAAGTTGTGCAGTTATTTTAGCAGCCATTTGAAGTTCTCTTCAAGTGAAAAATACAAGCGGGGATCATTTTTAATAATCCCAGGAACTTCAAATCAATTTTCTTGAATTGTGTTAGGGTAGCAACAATTTACCAAATGCTAGTCAACTTAATACCACAGCTCCATCAAATGATCTTTACCTGAAATGCTGCTTTCATAGCTGACATTCTATCTCCCATTGCTCCTGTAGATGGTTTGTATGCTTCATAGTTAGACAGCACATTGCTTGATGTTCTGTCCTGTATTAGACAAACAGTTAACCATATCGTCACTATGCATCAAGTAACAGGTTTAAGGTTAGAGAAGAAATAAATCATCACAAAACTTATAAAATAGTAGAAATTCATGAGCTGAGCAGGATACCATGTTAAGATTTGATGGAGGTTTTACATAAATGAATTGTAACCTGGTTATTAACTCTCTATTAGAACTCATCTCAGCATTTTCTGTTCCAAAGAAAACACTAGCCTATCCAACCTTTCCATAAAGCTAAAATTTTCTATTGTAGGAAACATTATCATGAATCTCATTTGTATCCTTGCAATATCTTTCCTGCAATGCAGTAACCAGAATCATACCCTACTCTAGCTATGGTCTGGCTAGTGCATTTTATACCCTTGCATTCTTGTATTCTAAATCCCAACCAATTAAGGAAAGTGGCCAGTGTGTTGGACATGACTTTCCCTTACAAAACCAAGCTGACTCTCCTTGATGAGTCTGTGCCTTTCCAAAGGTGGATTTATGCTAATTTTAAAATAGCTTCTCAACAGTTTTCCTGTCATTACGTGCTTTTACTCAGCCTACTCCTTTTTCCCGTTTTAAATAAGAGCACAATGTCATCAATCATCCTATTTTTTTATACCACATCTATAGTCAGACTACAAAACGATGGTCAGAAGCTCTTTCCTCTTCAACTTCTCCTTGCAGAGTGACATATCCTGCATCTGGGCCTGGCAATTTATCCACTTTCAAAGATGCTAAACACCTTATTATTTGCTCTATTATGATGTTTATTCCACCCAATATTTCACATTGCTCCAGCTATAAAGTTTGCATTATCCTCCTTTTTGTGATGATAATTGCAATGTTTCCATTAAGAACCATGCTCAAATCTTCTGCCTTTATGTACAAGGTCTCTAATAGACATTAGTCTTTCCTTAGTTATCCTCTTAATGTACTTATGGAACACTTGTGCTTTTCTTCAATTTTACTTGCCAATATTTTTCCATTCAGCTTTTGCTTTTTTATCTTTTTTTATGGCAAGCCTATACTTTTTACATTCCTCTATGCTTTCCACAGTACTAAGCCCTTGCTATCTAACATAGACTTTGTTTTTGTCATATCTCACTCCGTATCCACTCTTGACTTCCATGGTGGGGTTATATAGATTTAGGAGTTCCATCTGTTTTGTTCATGGGAATGTATCTTTCCTCTGTCTCTCACTGCTCTGACACTGATTTATCTCCCAGTAGCTTTCTCCAGATCACTTTTGGCAAAGTATATCTCAGCTTAGAAAAATTGATCCTTCCTTAATTTAAAACTTATATTTTTGGTCCAATTTTGTCATCTTCCATAACTGTTAAATTATGATCACTTTTCCTAAACTGCTCTCCTGCTTTTTACTTGACCAGCTTCATTTCATAAACCAAATTTAACATTTGTTAGGTTTGCTATGCACTGACTAATGACGATTCTCCTACTTGCTTTTGAAGTATTCTATGCTTTCTTTTTCCCACATACTGAATTTATCCCAGTTAATATAAGGACAATCGAAATCCCACTATTACTGAATTACACCCATGAAAAATATTCAATAAAATATGTCATTGGCTGTAGGGTGCTTTGAAACATCAGGCGGTTGCGCAAAGCACTGTATAAATGTCATTGGACTCAAAACATTAACACTTTCTTCCCACAGATGCTGCCAGACCTGCCGGGTTTCTCCTCTTGTTTCAGGTCTCCAGCATCTGCAGGTTTTAGTTTCATATTACTGTCTATCTTTCTTTATCACTTCTGTATTTTTCAGTATTTTGCAAACATTTTTGTCTTTCTGTATTTCTGACTGCTTAGGGATCTGTAGCAGACCTCCAAAGGTGTACCATTTTTTATTCCATAAGATTGCATTTGAAGACCCTTCTTAGCATTATCACTTCCATGATAAGCCACAGCTATGATATTTTTTCTTTGTTCAATATTATAAGACCCACTTCTTTTATATTCCCATTTCTACCCTATCTGAAATCCTGTGTCTAGCAAATTTGAACTGCTATTCTTGCTCTTCTACAATCAGTTTTCCAGTGTACTTCCAAGTGCCTATTTATCACCTCGTTTATCTTAGTCACTGGACTCTGAAATAGGGTTTAACTTCAATTGGTTTTCATGGCTCAGCATATCTGAACAGGGCTTAACACTCTTGAATATTCAAAATGATTCCACAGCACTACACTGCAACTGTGGACTAAACACGAAAATTAGAACATTAGCTTTAGTTTAATTCACGCTGTTTTTGGCCATAGTGTGGTTGGGAAACTTAAACAAGTCCTAGGCAGAACATAAAATTACTGGTAGTTTTCAACATACTAAGTCTCTTATATTTGCATTCAGCAGAAAAAAAACCAACAGTGCTTCAGTGTGACAGCAACTACACTATTTTCAACTCATGAATATTTACTGACATTGATAACATCAAACCCATCATTTGCAGTACTTACTGAGGTATCTGAACCCAGCCCTGGACGCTCTCTGTAGCCTAATCCTCCTCCTCCAATATTCATCCTCTTCCCTTTCCCAGCTTTGTAACGAGACTTTCGAAACCATGGATTCTGACAATTACAAAAGTTATTAAAATGCTTATTCTAAACTTAAATAGTAGCATAGAAAGTAAGAAACCAAAAGTTAACATTTTATATGAAAGAATTGGTACACAGTAACAAACTGAAGACAATCCTTTAAATGTAGGAAGTTAATTATTTTGGTCCTATTTGTTTGTTTCTATTGCCATTCATGGTCAAGTTAGTGGATGGTCCATCACCTGGCCATGATAAACATCAGTGAAGCAGACAGTGGTGCAAGATATAGAACGAGAATTGTCAGTTCCCTTCGTTTTCTCCCCTTGCGGGTAGCAGCTGTAATGGACAAATATCCTTCAGAAGAAAATCTGTGTATACTCAGTAACTAGGTACGCAAGTGAAAATGGTGTCTAGCAATAGAAGGAAATGTACAACAATGGAATATATTATGCAACTGCTTAGATTTGAAGGGGCTAGCATCTGAACAGAGAAAAGTGTTCTTAATATTTTGTGGGAAGCCCCTTTAAAATAGCTTGAGGAATTTTATTTGATGTTAGCCACGGCATATTATGAAAGAACTATGAATTTCTGATGAATCATACAAGGGGAAAGCTTAGTACCATCAATGGATTCGGGAAAAAAAAAGCCAAGTGAGTTGGATAAGAAAAATTACACTTTTGCATCTCACTCTACACATAAATTGTTTTTTAAGCATACCCTGTTTAATCAGTGACTGTGGACCTGAATGATCTGGAGATATAGATGCACAGTGTTTTTGTTATTCTCATCTCGATATTTGTGTGGTAATTTTTTTGAATGATTGGCTATTTTGTACTTAATCAATGTTCCAGGTTTCATGAACAGTTTATGCAATATGTGAATGTAAAAGCTTTACTGCAAGGGATAAATTTTGGTCTCAAGTGGAGTTTGCATTTTTGACAGTTAACAGTCAGGAAACTAGTAGTTTGAAAGACAGAAGCTAGAAAAAGAATGCTAATTAAGAACATCATTAGTACAATAATGAGAGATGATCTTAGTTTGAAAGAGCAAAATTACAATCAATTTTGCTAAAAATAAAAAGTATGAGAAAGCTAATTAAAATCAGTAAGTTTCAATAAGTACTTAAATAGGAAATGAGCCAGTGTTCGTCCTCCAGAAAGGCTGTTTAGAGAAACAATAACAGAAAACCAGGAAATAGAGGAAATGACGAACAGGACTTTGTGCCCGTCTTCACACAGTAGGAGACTGAGGAAACTTTTCCAAAGTTGAAAGTCAAGAGATGCAGGGGAGGATGGAACAATCACCAGCATCAGGGAAATGCTGGGAAAACTACTAGAACAAGTCTCCTGGACCAGATGATATGTATCCTAGACCCTTCTTCAGAAAGATACAGGGATAGTCATTATAATCTAGAATTCCTCAAATTTTCAAACAGCAGATTGGAAAATCGCTAATGTAACACCATTTTTCAAGGAAGGCAAGAAAGACAAAAACAAGAGAGTGAGGCAGACAGACAGGAGGGAGGAAAAAAGGGACACAGACAGACAGAAGGGATGAAGAGAGGGAGGGACAGAGACAGACAGAAGGAAGGGAGGGAGGGAGGGAGACAGAAGGGAGAGACGAAGGAAAGGAGACAGGAAGGGGAGGAAAGGAGAGAGGAGGTGGAAGGAAGAAGGAAAGTACAGGCAAGTTAGGCTACCATCAGACATAGGGAAATTGCTAGAATCCATTATTAAAGAGGTTGTAATAGGATGCAGAGAAAATCATAAGCTGATCAGGCCGAGTCAATATGGTTCTGGGAGAAGTAATTTGTGATCACTAACTTATCAAAGATTTTTAAGTAAGTTACAAGCAAGGTGAAATAAGGGAGCACCTATGGAAGTTGTGTACTTGCTTTTCCAGAAAACAAATCTGATAAAGTGCCTCATCAACAGATTCTACACAAGGCAAGAGTTCACGGTGTAAGCAATTAGCTAAAAGGAAGCAGAAAATAGGGAGAAAGGGAACTTTTCCGCTACATTTCAGATTTTATCTCTCTTGGAGAGCTGGTACGGCAATTATAAAAAGATTTGACACAAAAAGTCATATCAGACTCGAAACATTAACATTAATTCCCTCTGTAGATGCTGCCAGGCCAGCTAAGTTTCCCCAGCCACTTTAGTTTTCATTTCCAGCATCCACACTACTTGGTTTTTATTTGGGAGAGAAAGTGTGTTGTCTGGAATTGGGAGTCTTTTAAAGAGGCCTCGGAGGCAAACCTAAGATAATTGAACATGGA